TCATCACGCTAAGACCAATAGGAGCGGAGCACCAATCAAGAATATTTCAAATCANATTTTGAATTTTGAATTTTTGAATTTTGAAGAAGAAGAAGTATGTTGCTCAAAATAAAAAAATAAAAAATTGGCAACTATTTGCAGCAAAATCACCCTGTTTAAGTTTCAAGCGTCTATAGTCCGGTCGCCAAGCACGTAGAATTTCGTCCAATGACCCCGAGCTACCCATCCTAATCGCTCGCGCGTAATTATATTACTTTCGCGCTCGCACACTCACTGCGGCCGTCCATCGCACAGTTGCAACAGCAATATAATTACGCGCGAGCGATAAGGATGGGTAGCTAGGGGTCATTGGACAAAATTCTACGTGCTCACGGACCGGACTTTACAATAATTCACAATTCTAATAACGTGGTGTTTCCCGGCAGATATACTCGATGACGGTGCGTCTGTCAGCCTTGTTCGAGACGCTGTGGGCGCGCGCGCCCGCCTCGCCCGCCCGCCCGCGCCGCGCCCGCCCCAGACGCGCCCGCCCACGGCGCAACGCAGAGAGTGAGTTCACACATTTTACTGTGATTCAATACCTTCAACATCTAAACTCATTTGAGGCGCGGTGCTGCAACAAAATTAAATGACATAATATGTACGAGTATATTATGTAAAAATATTATTTTGAATATTCGTTCCGTGCCGCGCCGCGTAACGTCTCAATTAGGGTTTTCGCGATTGAAAAATCAATACGTAGACGCGAGATCCAAATGCTGCATGATTGGTTATTATTGACATGACATTGACAGATATGTCAAAATCCACCAATCATGCAGCATTTGGACCTCCCGTCTACGTATTGCCATCTGGCGGATTTTTCAATAGCGAAAACCCTCATTGTAGCTCAATCTTAAACCGTTTCTGCGGTCTTAGTGATAATACCACCTGTCGCGCTCGCACACTCACTGCGGGCGCGCGTCGCACAGTCGCGACAGCAATATAATTACGCGCGAGCGATAAGGATAGGTAGCTTGGGGTCATTGGACTAAATTCTACGTGCTCACTTACCAGGCTTTAGTGGATATGCTATTCTCACGCCAAACATTGCTTTTCGTATTTTTACGAAGTTCAGGTACAGGGCTGTGACAATAGTATTACGACCATTGATTATCTGCGGATGCTAGTTGAGATATGATATAAAATTAAATATTTTTTTCGACAGCATCAGAAGCAATGAACGGCAGCCTCGACCACGACGATCACCTTCAACAGCGGGCATCCGACGACTCCAGTTCAGAGGAGACGCTCGCGGCCACCTCGCGCCGCGTTCATAGGGCGAGGCACGCGCCCGCCCCCGCCTCGTCGGCGCCCGCCCTACAGCCCGCCCAGCCTCGTGGGCGGGCGCGGGACTCGTGGGACAGTGACGCTCCACTACACACGCACACTAAAGGTACAGACACACCGCGCCGCGTGCACCGAGCGAGGCACGCGGCCGTATAAGTGTGCATTACAGTATGGAGTTTCATACAAAGAATACTGACCAACTCGAGTAGATACGGTTACAATCCCTTTCCGGGTTAATGCGTGTGCTTACATCCATAAAACATGGCCAGCACGAAAGCTCACACCACTCATCGTTGCATAATATACTCAACATCAAATAAACCGCACCTTCCGCGACGCGAACTTTAAGGATTTCCTTCTGACACAATCATGGTGCCCCAACAATATTTGTGTTGTTTGAAAGCCCAATAAATATCCTTAAAGAAAAACACATTTAATTTCTTCATAAATGATTAACATATACCATAAATGTTACTTGAAAAAAGACCTCACTTTGGGCTCACCTCTGGGATCAATTAGACCAATTTTTATGGTTATAAAACCAACTAATGATCTCACGTGTCCTTTTTAACAGATGGATAGGGATTAATCCCAACTTAACAGTTTTATAGCCATAAAAATTGGCTCAAGCGTAACTACCTATTTTTTGAAGAAGTGACTCTGGATCCTTCTAAAGACACATTTTTGGGGTAAAAACCTTTCCTTTAATGAAATGAAGTTTAGATCTAGGCTTTTAAATGGTGCCAATATTGATGGAAAGTGGGGATGCATACGTTTGAAAGTGCTTGTCGCGGGAGGTGCGATTTATTTGATGTCGAGTGTATATCAGGTTCGAAGGACCATGTTTAAACGAGCAGAGTAAAATAATGTGGAATGTTTTGTCTTTTTACAGGGAAAGGCATCGGCAAGAAGAGTAAAAGCAGTAGCAACAACAGCACGGAACCAGTTCCCAGCACCAGCGGCGTTCAACATGGTAAAGATAAAAAATTTACTTAGGTATATAATTACTCCATAGAAAACTATGATAATCTAGCGTTTTTAATTCAGTCAGTGCCTGCGGTATGAGAGCGTCACGGGAGCGGTGACATTAATATATTTTAACGTGACTGAGCATATAAATCTGAAGAAGATTCTGAAGTCTCGCTGACGTTTGACGTTACAAAGACATCCCGTGCCGCTCCCTTGCCTCACTTAGTTAAGCGCTATAGAGCTGTAACTATCCATTTGTGTCAGTCTATTTTCTTTTTATTCTAGATGATTCTATTTTCTAGATGATTGTCCCAGAATCATGGACTTTATGTTCTATTCTTATTAAAATTTCATAGCGATTAGAGTCGCTTCTCAAACTAAATTTTAAACAAACAACTTGAAAAAATCGAACTGCCTAAGCTAAGGCGGGAATCGAACCCACGACATTGATGAAATAAAACGCGGCCAGAACAGCGTATTACACTTGAAAATTTCGACGGATTCATCCAGTGTCTAATGCCCGTATTCACCATCAATTCCTAATTTATAAGTGACCCTTATGGTAACACATAACAGGAATTTTGTTTTCAAAGGGGTCACTTAAAAATTAGGGATTGATGGTAAAAGCAGGCATAAGTAACTCAGTTGGAAGAGCACTCGCCCAGACAGCGGAAGGTCGTAGGTTCGATTCCCGCCTTAGGCAGTTCGATTTTCTCAAGTTGTTTATTTAAAATTTTTGTTCTATTCATCCTGCCAGTGTACAACGAAACCAACGGCGGTCGCTCCTGGTCGGACGGCTCGGCTCTACTCGAAGCGGCGTCCGACAGCGACGCCTGCGAGGACATCGAGGTGTTGGAAGAAGAATTGGAGGATGACGTGGAGCTGGCTTACGAGGAGCCGCGGCCGAGGAAGCGGCGCCGCCGGCCTGCCTCCGGGTCGGGCAGCGGGAGCAGCGAGCCGGGTAGATGGGGCGCTCGTCCTGTTCATGCCAAGCGGTGAGTCATCATCATTTCAGCCACAGGACGTCCACTGCTGAACATAGGCCTCCCTCAATGACTTCCACATCGCACGGTTGGTAGCGGCCTGCATCCAGCGCCTTCCTGCTACCTTTACGATGGCGTCGGTCCATCTTGTAGGTGGACGTCTCACGCTGCGTTTTCCGGTACGTGGCCTCCACTCCAGAACCTTGCTGCCCCATCGGCCGTCAGTTCTGCGTACTATGTGCCCTGCCCACTGCCACTTCAACTTGCTAATCCGTCGGACTATGTCAGCGGTGAGTAAGCAAGATTATTCCCACCTCTCGTTCCAGACAGTTCCCACTTCTCGTAATACTAGACGCGGGCCTCTAGTAATACTAGAGAGCGCTAGGTTAATGATTGCACGCGGGCGCTACATTAGCTAGAGACACTAAGTTGGAGGATGACGTGGAGCTGGCTTACGAGGAGCCGCGGCCGAGGAAGCGGCGCCGCCGGCCTGTGTCTGGATCTGGCAGCGGGAGCAGCGAGCCGGGACGATGGGGCGCGCGACCCGTTCATGCTAAGCGGTGAGTAAGCAAGGTTATTCCCACCTCTCGTTCCAGACAGTTCCCACTTCTCGTGTAGCCAGGATCTACAGCTTGATCGCCAATAAAAACGCAACCAGTAATAGGGATTGCTCAAGTATAACGGGACTGTTCTCACCTCTCGTTCCCACCACTGCAACTTCGTGTAGCCAGGATCTACAGTTTGACCATCAATAGAAAACCCAACAAGTGAGCGGTGAGTCAAGTCCCAGGACACATTTATTCTATAATGCCATATAGTTGGTACATACGGAACACATCGAGGTGTTATATGAGGAGTTGGAGCAGGTGACAGTACCTATAGTGCAGGGTGTGCGTTGCAACGGACACACGATCCTATGGAGTGCCGTGCGCCCTTTAGTAATACTAGAGAGCGCTAGGTTAATGATTGCACACGATCGATACACCAGCTAGAAACACTTCTGAGTTGGAGGATGACGTGGAGCTGGCTTACGAGGAGCCGCGGCCAAGGAAGCGGCGTCGTCGGCCTGTGTCTGGATCTGGGAGTGGGAGCAGCGAGCCGGGTAGATGGGGCGCGCGACCCGTGCACGCTAAACGGTGGGTCAAAGTCTCGAAGTCTTAGGATATATCGAAGTGTTGGAAGACGACATAGACTGAGGCGTCCGTACCGTACTAGTCCGGTAGGCAACTGTCTTACGAAACATGCACATGCTAAGCGGTGAGTAAGCGAAACTATTCCCACCTCTCGTCCCCACCACTGCAATTTCTGTGGCCACTAGGCTAGACCTAGGATCTACAGCTTGACCGCCAATAAAAACCCAACCAGTAATAGGGATTGCTCAAGTAAAACGGGACTGTTCTCACCTCTCGTTCCCACCACTGCAACTACGTCTAGCTAGGATCTACGCAATAAAAACACAACCAGTGACAGTCAAGCGATGAGTCAAGTCCCAAGACACATTAATTCTTTAATGCCATATAGTTGGTACATACGGATCACATCGAGGTGTTATATGAGGAGTTGGAGCAGAGGTGACCGTACCTATAGTGCAGGGTCTGCGTTGCAACGGACACACGATCCTATGGAGTGCCGTGCGCCCTCTGTAATACTAGAGACTAGAGAGCGCTAGGTTGTTGATTGCACACGGGCGCTACATCAGCTAGAGACACTAAGTTGGAGGATGACGTGGAGCTGGCTTACGAGGAGCCGCGGCCGAGGAAGAGGCGCCGTCGGCCTGTGTCTGGATCTGGTAGTGGGAGCAGCGAGCCGGGCAGATGGGGCGCGCGACCCGTTCATGCTAAACGGTGAGTCTTTATACAGCAGGCAAGAAGAATCATTGGAAGACGACGTAGAGCTGTCTTAGGAGTCATCATCATTTCAGCCATAGGACGTCCACTGCTGAACATAGGCCTCCCTCAATGACTTCCACATCGCACGGTTGGTAGCGGCCTGCATCCAGCGCCTTCCTGCTACCTTTACGATGGCGTCGGTCAATCTTGTAGGTGGATGTCCCACGCTGCGTTTTCCGGTACGCGGCCTCCATTCCAGAACCTTGCTGCCCCATCGGCCCTCTAGTAATACTAGAGAGCGCTAGGTTGTTGATTGCACACGGACGCTACATCAGCTAGAGACACTAAGTTGGAGGATGACGTGGAGCTGGCTTACGAGGAGCCGCGGCCTCGGAAGCGGCGCCGGCGGCCTGCCTCCGGGTCGGGCAGCGGGAGCAGCGAGCCGGGACGATGGGGCGCGCGACCCGTTCATGCTAGGCGGTGAGTTTTTATACAGCAGGCAAGAAGAATAATTGGAAGACCACGTAGAGCTGTCTTAGGAGTCAACCACCTCTCGTTCCCACCGCTGCGACTCCTGTGTAGCCAGGATCTACAGCTTGACCGCCAATCAAAACTCAACCAGTAATAGGGATTGCTCAAGTAAAACGGGACTGTTCTCACCTCTCGTTCCTACCGCTGCAACTCCTGTGTAGCTAGAATCTATAGCTCGACCTCCAATAAAAACACAACCAGTTAAGGTCAAACGGTGAGTCAAGTTCCAGGACATATCCAAGTAGTGAAGATTAGTTGGAGCAGAGGCACCCTTACGTATAGTGCAGTGTTTATGTCCTAGGGAGCGGTTTTTAGAGGTGTTAGTTAGAGAAAAGCGGTAGCGGCCGTACCTATAGGGCAGAGTATGCATCTCACACGGAAGCACCATCCTAAGGGACACCGTACGCCACTGGCCGCGCGACCCTAGATAACTCCAGGTTAATGACAGCACACGGGCGCTACTTGATGTAAAGCGACTAAAGACACTTCAGAGTTGGAGGATGACGTGGAGCTGGCTTACGAGGAGCCGTGGCCTGTGTCTGGGTCTGGGAGCGGGAGCAGCGAGCCGGGACGATGGGGTGGACGTCCCGTTCATGCCAAGCGGTAAGACCTTCTACGATAGCCTAGAATCTGTTTAGAAAATGGTCTAGTGGTAAGACCACCTTCAGAGCCAGAAATCCCCAGTTCAATTCTCAGTAGAAGCAGATTTTTCAGTTCGGTTTGGCTTGTTTTCAGTCCACCTGACAAGCTGCACCATTTTAAGTCTGTCACTATAGCAACAATGTTAATCGTTATATTTCGGCAGTTCAAGATTGAAGGTAAGATAGCCAGTTCCTCTGTGAAGAATTTTAAGAAAGCTCGCTTCCATCTTCTACCTTATCATCACTTGCCATCATGTAAGATGCAAGCCAACAACTTTCTCGTTGTGGATAAAAATACTAATGAATGCATTAGTCACTAGCGGCCGCACGCGACTTCGTACGCGTGGATCCCGTTTTACCCCCTTAGGGGTGGAGTTTTGTAAAATCCTTTCTTAGCTGATGCCTACGTCATAAAATCTACCTGCATGCCAAATTTCAGCCGGATCCGTGCAGTGGTTTGGGCTGTGCATTGATAGATCACTATGTCAGTCAGTCACCTACCTTTTAGTTATACAGGGTGTCCCAGAATAGGTGAATCAAACTGCTAGGGGAGGTAGCTCTACTAATGCACTATCCCTAAAAAATACGAAAAAACAATTTTGAGCTCGGATTTTTTTTTTAAATAAAGTGCTCTAAACTCGAAATCTACTCATTATTTTCAAAAGTTTGTTTACAGATAAACGAAGCGATCATGTACAATTAATATTAGTAAGAAAAAAGTAAGTACTTAGCCAGTAAGTAGCCAGATACTTAGGCAAAGCTGATTTATTTTCACTTAAAAAAAAATTGTTTTTTTGTGTCCTTATGCGCTTTTTTTTTCATATTTTTAGGGATAGTTCATTAGTAGAGCTACCTCCCTTAGCAGTTTGATTAGAAGACTAGATTGCTCCCAACTTGACTGTAAGTTCTCCCGGCAGCACGCGCGAGCGGTTCACCTCAGCGTCGTCGTCGTCGTCATCAGCCGACGAGGAGCCTGCGGAGCGGCGCTACGAGTCCGACCACTCGTACCACCCGCGACACTCCACCGACGAGGACGCGCCGCTGCACCTCTACAGGTATACTTACAGGAGAGCTGAGATACACAGAAATATGATATTATTATTACAACCCGATCGAGTTAACAGGGATGATGACTGGGTAATGAAATCGAAATTCTATTTAGTCCGTCAGACATATAATAAAAAAAATTTGGACACACATATTTTAATATTTTTCATAATCGAAAAATTACAATACCCGGCAACAAATATTGCACATCGACCTTTAGAAAGAGACAATCGGCTAATTTCGGTTTCGTAGAGCGTTATCACTGTCGCACTTGAACAATGACTGACAATGACGTTTTGTCAAAGTGTAAACAAACTTTATTTTAAATGTGTGCAATTGATTTTTTGAATTAAATTGCTAAAAACTTTTAAATAAAGAAAAGTGGTTTAGAATTTTTTTAAATATTTCTCCAAGAGAAATACTAAGAGTTCGGACAATATTTTCATGGAATAATGTTTTGTCAATGACGTTTTGTCAATCGTATAGGTAGTGTGCGACAGAGATAACGCTCTACGAGCCGAAATTAACCGATTCTCTTTCCAAAGGTCGATGTGCAATATTTATTGCCGGGTCAGTACCCTGCAATAAATATTGCACATCGACAGGCATCGGCAATTGTACTGTACAGTTGCAGTATTATATTGAGTTGAAATGTCGCGTGACGTCACTTTTGAGTAAAAAAATCTACTCAAGCGTGACGTAACGCGCCATTTCAACTTGATGTAGCACTGGTATTATGGCGGAAAGTGTTCAGTTGAGTGCGAGGGAAAGTCGCATTCCAGCGAGTTGCGCACTTAGCTCGATCGGGATGTATGTCCTCCTTCAGCTAATGGTAGCCCACTGCTCTAGACATCAGCCAGCTAAGGAGTTCCACTTGATTTCTCGATTTTTCCATCCAGTTGTCATCTGATATCGATCCAATGAAACAGGAGATACGTCCTACACTGTTTTTATTGATTACACAATGCGTCGGTTCTAATAGAAAATGAAATCAAATCAAATAATTACATGATATGAAACTGCACATAGCTGTACCCATAAATTCCTGGATATTTGTTGCAGACAAAGGCAAGAGGGCGCGACGGAAAATGGCTCGGACGCGGGGCCCTCTAGCGGCCGCCGGCAGAACGGACACGCGAGGGTATGTACAGCTGTTTCTAACCTCTGATAAAGGGCACTTTCAAATACTACCCGTTCGCGCTAAGTTTGCCGGTCCGTGGAATGCGTGTCCCCTCCCACAACCGCGATTAAACGTAATTAGTTAGTGATTAAACGCAATTAATGTGTTTTATTTAACGCAAATACATAATTTTGATCAATAATAATAAAAAAAAAATAGTTTAGTTTGTTAAAGTTATAGACGCTTCCCTTCGAGTGACATCATATCGCCAGCGGCAAACTTAAAGCGAACGGATAGTAAGAAGGTTTGACGCCCTGCTCAAAACGTCTGCAAACGGGCGACTGTTCAAAACGTCCTACTTGAAAGACTCCTTTGATTCATTTTGACGTGACGTGATTCTTGGAACTGTTTTATTTATTCGGTAAATACCTTCATCAAGACAGTTATGTACTTGTTTTACTTTATTATTTGGGGCCACAGTCACACTTTAGACGATGCACTTTTCGTCACTTGCCTCTCTAACTGACGTAACTGACATTTTGCAAAATTTTCAGGCGATTAGACAGATCGATTCGTCTTGCGAAGTTGATTAAGATGGTGTAGATCAGTTTCCCAATTATTTTTAGCCATGGAACCCTATTTGATTATACTTTTCCTAGCGGAACCCCCGAACTACTCCGCCCGCACGCCCTGCCCCTCCCTAGTGCGTAAACAAGTCGGTGCGTGCGAACAACGGCAGTCACGAAACGTGGGATAATATTTTTTACGGAACCCTTGCGGCCTTTCCACGGAACCCCAGGGTTCCGCGGACCACCTTTCGGGAACCGCTGGTGTAGATAACTCAGTTTTTTAAAAAAAATGTCAGATACGTCAGTTAGAGAGGGAAACGACGTTTTGTGTTTCCCCATGCTTATATTTCTTATCGTCCTCCAAGACTGCAAGATAATAATTTATGTACTTCAGTTGTTTCTTAACTGACAGAGATTGTTATTACTAATTTAGGGAGTGTCGCTCCGAGCACGACGGAGCCCGCGACGCTACAACGAAGACAGCGACGACGACACACCAGCGGCCATCAGCAAGCGCTCGCAGCACCAGCACCAGCAGCGCCAGCTCGCGCTGCACCACCGCCGCACGCGACACGCCTTGCAGGTACCGTGCGTCATCCGTCGCTGATGACGCGCGTCACACACACCCGCCGCCATCAGCAAGCGCTCGCAGCACCAGCACCAGCAGCGCCAGCTCGCGCTGCACCACCGCCGCACGCGACACGCCTTGCAGGTACCGTGCGTCATCCGTCGCTGATGACGCGCGTCACACACACCCGCCGCCATCAGCAAGCGCTCGCAGCACCAGCACCAGCAGCGCCAGCTCGCGCTGCACCACCGCCGCACGCGACACGCCTTGCAGGTACCGTGCGTCATCCGTCGCTGATGACGCGCGTCACACACACCCGCCGCCATCAGCAAGCGCTCGCAGCACCAGCACCAGCAGCGCCAGCTCGCGCTGCACCACCGCCGCACGCGACACGCCTTGCAGGTACCGTGCGTCATCCGTCGCTGATGACGCGCGTCACACACACCCGCCGCCATCAGCAAGCGCTCGCAGCACCAGCACCAGCAGCGCCAGCTCGCGCTGCACCACCGCCGCACGCGACACGCCTTGCAGGTACCGTGCGTCATCCGTCGCTGATGACGCGCGTCACACACACCCGCCGCCATCAGCAAGCGCTCGCAGCACCAGCACCAGCAGCGCCAGCTCGCGCTGCACCACCGCCGCACGCGACACGCCTTGCAGGTACCGTGCGTCATCCGTCGCTGATGACGCGCGTCACACACACCCGCCGCCATCAGCAAGCGCTCGCAGCACCAGCACCAGCAGCGCCAGCTCGCGCTGCACCACCGCCGCACGCGACACGCCTTGCAGGTACCGTGCGTCATCCGTCGCTGATGACGCGCGTCACACACACCCGCCGCCATCAGCAAGCGCTCGCAGCACCAGCACCAGCAGCGCCAGCTCGCGCTGCACCACCGCCGCACGCGACACGCCTTGCAGGTACCGTGCGTCATCCGTCGCTGATGACGCGCGTCACACACACCCGCCGCCATCAGCAAGCGCTCGCAGCACCAGCACCAGCAGCGCCAGCTCGCGCTGCACCACCGCCGCACGCGACACGCCTTGCAGGTACCGTGCGTCATCCATCGCTGATGACGCGCGTCATTCCGCGCTGATGACACACGTCATGACCGCAGATGGCACGCGTCATGCTTTGCTTTTGACACGCGTCACGACTTACTGATGACACGCGTAATGCTTTGCTGATGACACGCGTCACGCTTTGCTAATGACACGCGTCAGGCCTTGCGAATGACACACGTCACAACTATAGATTACACGCGTCATCACTACGGGTGACATGCGTTACGACTGCGGATAGCAGCAATTGCAGGCCTTCTAATTTAACCTGGGTGTGTCCTGGGTGGTGTGCCACCCACAGATCTAAGCCTGATCATCACTTTTCATCAGCCGAAAATCAGGCAAAGAGCTTTTCCTTACTGTTTAAAAAAATATTCATGTAAAATCAAAGTGAATCCCCCTTTTTAATAAAAAGTTACACCTTAGTTGAACACTTGTTTTAAAGTGACGTTTAGTATGGAAATATGTTTGGTTACGTAACTATCAATATTGTGTGGACAGACGATCGTGACGGTGGACGCGGACCACAACTACTTCAACGGGCACGCGCGCGAGGCGCCGCGCGACGTGCCGCGTGACGCGCCGCGGGACGCCTCGCCCGAACCCACGCACTCCACGCACAATGGTAAGTGTTTGGTAGATGTATGCCCGTTTTCATCGTTCGTTCGTTTCAGCCAAATGATGTCCACTGCTGGACAAAGGCTTCCCCCAAGGTTTTCCATAATGAACGGTCCTGCGCTGCCCGCATCCAGGCTCTACCCGCGACCTTTACCAGATCGTCGGTCCACCTAGTAGGAGGCCTGCCCACGCTACGTCTTCCAGCCCGTGGTCGCCACTCGAGAACTTTCCTGCCCCAACGGCCATCATCTCTACGAGCTATGTCCCCCGTCTACTGCCACTTGATTTTAGCCATTGCGACCTACTCGTATGTCGGTTACTTTAGTTCCGTTTTCATCATCAATCTCAAATTTTTAAGTGACCCCTTTGAAAACAAAATTCCTGTTATATGTTACCATAGGGGTCACTTAAAAGTTAGGGATTGATGATGNAATTCCTGTTATATGTTACCATAGGGGTCACTTAAAAGTTAGGGATTGATGATGAAAACGGGCAGTAGTCATTGGATTCTTTTTCAGGGGGGAGGGGGGGGGCTGATATGGGGAGGGGGGTGAGATTAGTATCATGGTCATGAGTTAGTACTATCAACTGTGAATATTCAAATCCAACATCCTGGGGGGCACCAGACCATTCTGGGGGGAGGGCGGGGGCGTGCCACCCCGGCCCCCCCGCTAAACATACACGAGCATAGATGAAGTATTACTACTGCGCTAAATCTTCAGCTCCGGATGCATTGAAACTATCTTTGTCCTCCAGATAAGAGCCGTAGAGAAATATACAGGTTGTTTCCTGTAAAACTTCAAGCAAGTGTAACGAGAAAGATGTGTATCATACCATCGATTAAACCCTTATATGTAATGTTCAGCGAATTTGTTTAATTTAGGAGTTATTGCACGGTCTCCTAAATAAACTTTATTTTATTTTATTTTATTTTTCTTTATTCAGAAAACCAACTTTAAAATATTATAACCAGGGCCGGATTAACCATCTCGGGGCCCCTAGGCACAGCTCGTTTCGGGCCCCCCTTTTTTTGTCGCGGAGGAAATGCTTTGCGCACCGTCACCACTGCCGGGAACAAGGTGGAGTATGGGACTCCCGGCGCCCTATAAAAGGGCGCTGCTCCGTCCTGAAAAGGACGGGGTATACCCACTAAAACCTCCGCGGCGGTCCGTCATAGCCCAAGTGGGGGTGTCGCGAGTATCCGGCCGTAGCCTTAGACTTCCGCGACACCACCGGCGACAGCTCGCCTACACGGCGGACCCTACACGCCCCCCTTGTAAGGGGCCGACGGGAATGGCCCGAAACGCCAAGCCGTTCCCGTCAGACGGAGGTGACAAGGGTGCCCCCGCACCCCCGGCCTGCTGGCCGCCACCTGGTCTGGTCTGCCATCCAGTGATAGTGACAGACAAGACCCCAGTTTCTAGCTCCCAAGGAGGAGTACCAGCGAGGACGCACGCCACAGCGTGCCCTACCGTGCGGTAGGTCCTTGCGACTTTCTGCGCTATGGCCCGCTGGGGCCTGCGCAAAAGGACAGCATTAACCCTCTTGTTGAGTGCGTCCGCCCAGATTGGGGCGCCATACAGCACCATGCTCCTCAGAACGTCGGCATAAAGTCGACGAAACCTCGTTTGTGGCCCTCCCAAATTCGGGAGGGGCCAACTCAGTGCGCAGCTGCCTTGAGGAGGCGTGGTGCTAGCCCGTTGAAGTGCGGGCTAAAATGCCACCTCCCGTCAAGGGTGAGGCCCAGATATTTTATCTAGCCTTTGACGTTATCCTAACGTCCTCAACCACAATGTGGGCGTCGGGAGGGGCGCGCTGCCCCGGAAAGAAGAGGGCCTCAGTCTTCTCCAGCGCGACTTTCAGGCCGAGGCGTCGTATTCTGCGACCGACTAATGTGCCGCCCGCCGACGCCAGCCGTGCCGCGGCCCCAAATGTTTTCCCCCGGACAATGACCAGAGTGTCATCCGCATAGCATAATTATGACACTCATGCCCGCGAGAAGGAGCTGGCCGTCTCTGTACATACAGAACTTCGCGGTCCCGTAAGTAATCGGCCAGCAGCGCTCGGAGGTATTGAGGCACTCTATGATGTTTAAGTGCCTAGCGTATGGTGGAATGAGGGATGGTATTCAAAGCGATAGCTATATCGAATGATACAGCCAACACACCCTCACCCCTCACCCCTCTCCCTAGCCTCCGCAGNGCACCTGCTTGCGCTGTATATGTCGCAGTCGGATTGTATAATCCGCCGTTTTACATTACAGCTAGGCATTTTGCATTACAGCTCTGTTTTGTAATACGGCGGCTTAACGTTTAGGCGGATTGTCATTGCGATACGTTCTTCAATACGGCGGCCCACGTTTAGCCGCATCGTAATACATCATAAATTGTAGGGTGACCATACTTTACAAAATAAAACAATGTTTGATGAAAATAAAATTTAATAAGACAGATTTCTTCTCATGATATTCTTTATTTATTAAGTAAGAATTATTAACTTCGTTACTGTACCTATACTAAATTATATATTTGGCTGTTGTATTTTTTTTACTTATTTATTTATAAATCACAAGGGACAGCCACATAAAAAAGTAACTTAAAACAAATAAACTTTTTTTCAGAAATAATTTGATATTTGTCTTGTCTTTTTTAGGCATTAAAAATAATGACAGGGGACAGCCATCTCAAAACAAAAGGTAACTCAAAACAAATAAAGTTTTAGTATTTTTTTCGGGGTTAAGTATTTTTCTTTAAGACTAATAAATCTTCACCGGCCACAGTCGTAATGTCGTATTTTTACACCAAAAATTTTGTGTAGGATTCCGCCGAACACCAGAATCCATAGCCACTTTAGCTGTTTTGATGTGGATTATAACCTCTAAAACTCGGTCACTTGTTCACGGTTTTTTTTACTATTTCACATTGATAAGAATATAAATTCTTTAATTTCACATTAATATTGTTTTCACAGTCACTGTCGACAAACATATTTATCACGTTTTCTTTGTTAAATTCACAAATAACTCCGCAATTTAGCAATACAATCTCTGTATCCGACGCCCATTGTTGTTGTTATGTCAGGCAGCGCCACGGTATTGAAAATGGGAACTGAAAAGTGTCAAAGCGGCGGGTAATGACACGTTGTTTTACATTACGGCTAGCCGCATTGAAGAACGTTTGGCGCCGAATACATTCCGGCGGATTTTCATTCAGCCGTATTCAATCCGGCTAAACGTTAAGCCGCCGTATTACAAAACAGAGCTGTAATGCAAAATGCCTAGCTGTAATGTAAAACGGCGGATTATACAATCCGACTGCGACATATACATAAACTCATTTTCGCGCGAGAGTTTTGGCGGAGGCCCTTGAGGTAGTGGGAGTAGTCTTGAGGAAAAGCTCCTTCTCCCACGGCCAGTGGCATGCTGGAAGCTTGGTGATTCTAGCACCCGTAGGAAAATATAAAAAAACCAACAAACCAACCAATAATACTGCGGTAGGTGTAGTTTTCGATTTCGTTGTAAAAAAATAATACCACCGAGTAACTTTCACCGGATCAAAGGCCGAGCTGCATATTCATAAAATATAAGAAAAAAATATTTTCATGTTTATTTAACCTGATTTTTATATTTTAAAAGTATTCAAACATTTAGATAATAACGTTAAAACATTTAAAAATAATCGTATGAGAACGTTTTCGACTTCTCCACGGACGAAGTCGCGGGCAAAAGCTATTTGTAAAATAATTAGACTAAATTATTAAAAGTGCCTACCGAAAGTCATTATTCCACGCGGACGAAGTCGCGCGCACAGCTAGTAATATTATAAAGTTAAAGAGTTTGTTTGTTTCTTTGTTTGCCTGAACGCGATAATCACAGGAACTTTATGTTGGATTTATCGAGAGAGTAGCCCATTTACCGAGAGAGGCTGATTTTGTAATCTAAATCTGTAAATTATTTTTAATCGCCGTATTTTTCGCGAAAAATATTATTGAAAATCTAATTCGCGGGTGCCCATATAAAATTTTTAAAGGTTAAGGTTTATTTTCGCGTACCATTATGTAAATAAGCTTTGTAGTTAACTGTGTGTACGTATTTTTCTGTGAACGAAGCTAATTATACACGTGTGCCAATTTTGAAACCAAATCAGATAAAAATAATTAAAAATTAAAAAAATAATCTGATTATATGTATCCAAATTTTTAGGAGTGACTCAGAATCAGTAACTGAACAAAGTCACCCTGTATATATAATAATAACATCAACCTACAGACAATAGGGGGGAGCAGTAAAGAAAAATGTTGCAAAAACGGGAAATATTTACTCAAACTATTTTCACGCGTACGAAGTCGCGGGCAGAGCTAGTCAATCAATAAGTTGCCGAAGTGTTAACCTTGATAAAAAATTCTAAGAATCCGTGAAAATGGTGAAGAATTGACACATGTCGTCTGAAACTGACAAGCGTAAACAGCAAACGATTTTCGAAATAAACTGGATATCGGTTCAGTACATTGAACTTCGAAGAATACCTATAGCTAGTTATAACTGTTATACCTAAGTACCTATCGCTCATTTATGTACTGCTTTTTTACATAATAAATGTGTGTTTATTTATCTGTTCTGCATGTCAATTTTCAGTCAAACTAAAAAAACCAAACACTTATTTTCTCGTACAGACCAGAGATATTAGGCATAAAAATATTTCCACTTTTCAGTGTCATTCTTTGCTAAATGTTGATTAAAACTTTTCAAATACTCGTAACACTACAAATAACTTTCTTTTAAATTAAATTAAAAATTGGAACACATTTTAATTCCAAAAGGTTGCTTTCCACCATAGACTATTCCTCGTTTTTCTTTAAGTTTTCCTATCCCGGGATTCAAAAAGTTGCTTGTCGGTAAGCAATCAGGAAATGAAATGAGTTCGTAAGGAGCTTCTGTTTACTTCATTTATGTGCCGAATTGAAGTGATGTAATCTCGGGATGCCGGAAAACCTGGTAGTAAGTA